TTGGTATTTTGATATCCATATACCTTTATAGGCACCTATTAACATTTAGATTTAGATACTTTATTTAATAACAATTACTCGACGGATTCGAGGTATATGACTTATAATACCTATTTAGTGCGAGTTATGGTCTCGTGTTTGTCATTTTACTCCATATATAGATTCACTCGTATCCCGTAAGTACACAGCTGTTGTAGCCCAGTAATCCTATGGAATGACGTTGAACGAAATTATAACTTGCAGTTCAAATAGTTCAATTGAAACACCTGAAGTTCGTGTTAAGCGCCACTGGTCCTATATGCACCCCTATAGAAGTAACCTTTCCCTTAAATGTGCGTGTTTGATTGGTGTGATATTGATATATTATGTCACTGACTACTGTTCTAGGGAAATAATAAATATATAATAATATGTAGATACCTATATTTTACGAATCGCGGAAAAAAGCCCAGAAATATAAATATAAATGAGAACACATGTAATATGTATACTCTACTCCAAATGACCTAATTAGTAATTACCTATAGGCTACAACGAAATATAAAAATATATTATATATTATAGTGAAAATAATAATTAATTGTTAACTGTATAAAATATAGATACGGTTAAACTACGATTGAGCTTAATCAGCTGATAACAAATATTTAAAAGGGCAAATTTGGCCGATTAAACTCCGGTTAACTTTAATCAGAGATGGTACAAATGACCCTTAGGTAATACATATTAAAACAGTGGCGTGCTCAGCTTTTTCTTATGGTGGGGGGGATGAACAGATACAAACACTACATTTTATTTTGAGTAAACCCGAAATTATCGAAGATCTAAATTACGCATAAAAAAAGTTCATTGGTGGATATGACACCCTGTGTATGAAACTGGAGGCTGCGCACGCCTATGTGTACAATATGTGTTCAAATTTATATTTATATTTCTTTATATTTTTATTGTTTTTTTTTCTGGGCTTTTTTTCCGCCTTTCATATTATACATTATATGAACATTTCGTACAATAAAGATTACATAATATACCTATATATAGGTACAAGCCCTGGGGAGGGGGGCTGTAGATTTAAACTTTAAATTAGGTCATTGCATATATCTATAAGCATATGATGAATTTGATAATAACTTTTATTTATATAACAGGTATACGGAAAAAAAAACCAAAATAAAAAAACCAAAAGAAAAAAGAACCAACGGGAAAAAAAACCAAAGTGATAATATAATCAAAATTTTTTGAAACAAAAGGTTGAGTTATCTTAGTTGTAGTTCTCAGAATAGCCGGACAATTAAGTGAACTTTTTTTTGTACATCTCCATGTATAATATTGTATTCCGGCATATTTTAAAGTATACATATGACCTTTGTGACAAATCTTATCTGCACCCTTATTTGATTTAATAATTTCAATAATTTCCATATTTTACACTATTAAATCCAGAACTTTAAAAAAAAAACAATTTGCAAGACAAGAATACAATACAGTAACCTAACCTAACCTTTTTTTATAGTAAAGTCACAGTAGTCAGCACAATGATCAATAGTGTATTTTTATATGATCTTCATGTTCCCCTATTTCAACTATAAATCTTGACAGTTTGACAGATTAACTTGTGAAACTTGTCTGATTATATTGTTGAGTTATTTTGATTTTTGAATAGTATATTATGTACAGGAAATTTCTTAAACTAAAATATATTTTATATTTATGTATAGCAAATTAAACTTATATATTTATATACATAGTGTTCGTAACTTATATTCTATCAATCATTTACTTATGCTCATTTGTATACATTTTTCTCAATAAAAATGTAATTATAATTAATTGTATAATATTTGAATGTATATTATATTTTGTGATAATGCTAATTCTCTGGTTATATTACCACTTTGGTTTTTTTCTGTGTTTTTTTCCTTGGTTTTTTTTTCCGGGATTCGTATAATATTATAAGCCATACCTAAATAGTGTGTCCCAAAATTCCCGTACACCCTTGTTCCATTCCAAATCATGTTTTTTTTTATTTTATAAAAATTTGTTAATACTTATTTATTTTATCGTGTGACTTTATATTATATTCTTAGAATATTTTGTTTTACGATTGCTTTGTATTTGTATTTTTATTTCATATGATTTCCAAAAGTGTTGACAATATTATATACAATTACTTAAATATAATATATGATTACTTAACGAAAAAACAATGTTTAGTATACTTACCTATAGCTTACTGTTATTAAATAATATTAAAATTATACAAAATAAATCTTGACTTAAATATAGGTATGAAATAAAGAAAATCTCGTAAGTGGGCTACGCTCAGCTGTACAGTAGGTTACAACTTACAAGTGGGTCATTGTAATAGACTTTTGGTTACAGAATTAATTTCTTACGTAGAACCTTGTTTTAAATTTTGTTAAATGTTAAAAATTAAAATAAACAATAAATAATTAGAGCATAAATAATCATTCAATATTTAAAGTTTTTTTGGTAAGGGCCTTTTTTTCCTAGATTCTTCAGAGGCTATGGATACAACAAAAAAAAAAAAAAAATATAATATAAAATATTTTAAAAAGAGAATAATTATTTGAAATGTGAATATTATATCATTGTAATTTGTAACTAATGGGATGTAGATGGCTGATAATGTTTGGAAAGTTGGAAAATGTTGGGTTTTATTATTGACAAGTGGAATCGGAGGTCAGGTTCTGCGTATTGAGACGGTTGCGATAGGTATTTGGTTTTAGTGGCAGTGTAAGCCAAAAATCGTGACTCGCATTTTTATAAGATTCGGTCTTAAATTAACAAAAATTCAAAAAATTATTTTTGATGAGCCTTGGTGCCCATGGAAAGGGCTCATGTTGCCTTTGGGGCACCGAGTTTGTGTTTTTTAGTTGTGTTGGATCGAAGCCCCCCACTCACATTGATGTTAATAATGTTAGCCAACCTGAAATTTTAATGGATTCCCGCCTAAGGGGGTGGTTTAAGGTAATTTTCTGTTCCGGGTCTCGATGGATCATTGATCAGAGGCTTGTACGCGGTAATGCGGTATAATTGGGTACCTACTTACAATACATATTAATATGGTTCATATAAGGTATAGGTACATAAAATGTTCAAACAAGCTATTTTATTTTTATTGAATGCCTCGAATAAAATAAAATATTTTTATTTCCAGGACAAGATAAGTAAATTGGGTCAAAGATAAAAACTATTGACTTTAAAAATAGAATACAATCTATGAATTATTTTAAAATAATACAAATGTTTCTAATAAAATATAATAATAAAAGAAATAGGTAGGAACCTACTATAGGTACTCGTCAACCGTGAAATTAAAAAGTTGCTAATAATAATATAATATATCAAGAATCAACCTCTGCTGTATCCACTGCAAACCACTATCCAATCATAAATATCACATACTGTATTTATATTACAAAGCTATAACTAATATTAGTTTTTAAAATGAAAATAAATGTTATCGATATACTGCTGTATAACAACAACCCATAGGCAATGTGCTTAGGGCACAAGACATTTTCAAAATATTATATTCTCCATAATGTGGAGAAAGTGCTTATTTTATAGGGCCCTAAAATGACTATTAATGCGGACCTGACAACAATAACGCGTCCTGTAACAAATCTACTATAAGTACCTACTTGGTTTGATGTATATTTTAAAATTTTTTTTAATTATCAATTATGTTTATTTATTATGTTCATCCTGAATTTATAAATAGTAATTATAATTTTGTTAGGCACGTGCTTGGTGGCAAGTACAATTCCTTCTAATTATTAGTTAACGCGATTTATTGGCTATGCGATGTGTAGACGTGTAGTGTATTGGAACTGAAAACAAAGTTAACTCCAATAGATGTGACCTTTTAAAAACGCACGTTTTGTCTAATATACTAATCATTTATACACGAACCACGAAACCATAAACATTAAACAACAATAATACGAATGTTCAAGTTGGCTATATTATTATAGAATTAGAATACATGACTAATGAAAACATCTGAGGTGCATGATCATGTTGTAAAGACACCTCTCGGCTCTCAGTATGATGAGTTATCATAGAATACCAACACGTGGAAAATGAACAAATTTTATCGGTTTACAAATTATTCGTATTATATGTCTTAGAATTAAATCACTATAAGACTAGGCGCATAAAGTTTAAAATCAAATCAGATTTTAGATGTAAATATAAACCCATATCAAATTCTGTCAGAAGTCAGCGTTTGAAATCGAAAAAATCATACCCAATGAAAGGGCCCAAAAATGTGTTTATAAGTTACATAAAAAAAATAACTAGTGCTCCGAAATATTTTCTAAAATTAAGAGGTACCTTAAGAGTTACCTATTGTTACATAAAATAATCAGATTTATGCTTTATTTTCCTACTCAAAATTCTTCAAATTTCATACATTTTAAAAACATCTGTATTGCACCATAAATTGAAAACAGGACAAACAGGAATATTCCATAATTAATATTATTTAATATTTTTCTTTGTAGAATCTGAAATAAGGATGAGTGTGGGCGTATACAAAAACATTAGAAAACAAACATAAATATGTAACTATATTCTCATAGATTTAGTAACAACATTAGTGTGTGTA